AAGAGACAGGCACTCCAAAGCGAGCGCTCTGAACGGGGCTGTTTTGGGTTAGGGTTAGGGTTAGGCAGGGGGACTGAACTGCTATTGGGCTTCATCCTTATGGGATTTTGACCAAAGCTTGTCACAGACATTACATTAGAACAGTGTCAGGTGTGCCGTAGAAAATCATCCTATTTCACCTAATTGGTCTAAAAAAGTTTTTGGAAAAGGAATTAATTTTGTGCAAATAATATGCCATTTCTGAGTGTCTGTGCTGTTCTAGTGACTGGTGGCGTAATCATGTAATAATTCCGTATGACTAGATTTTGTATAGAATTTTGCATATTGAAGTGGACATGTTAAGTGCAATTTGAAAGAAGAAATATAAAATATGATAAAAAATACATTTTTGTGTTTATTTGATTCCTATTCAAGACACTTAAGATAAAATGAAAATAAAATAAGAATAACTATAGTGTCACTATAGGCGGCTACAGATTTGTTTGACATTTTTGGTTGGTGGTGTGCCTCGAGATTTTTTCAATGAAAAACTGTACCATGGCTCAAAAAAGGTTGAAAAACACAGCATTAGAACACCAGGGAACTAGCTTAACTTGTTGAAATAGGGTATAATATGTCTCCTTTAACTACAAATTGTTGCTCTGCCGGGAGGGGGAAAATACCTTATTTCTGAGTCCACACTGGTGGACAGACCGGTCACCAAAGGGATTTCAGGGGGGGGGGTCTCCTTACCCTCCTGGATGCTGAGGCAGGTCTGGTTGGTGGCTCCGCCCACCGGCTCCACCTTCTCCACCTTCACCAACACCACGTCCGGCTCCTCCTCCTCCTCCTTCTTCTGCACACAGGAGAGACAGCGGACGTTAGAGCACCAACCGGCCATTCCACCCGGGGGTCATCCAGAAAGTCCAGCAGAGATCAAAACACAGATGAGGTCACTGTGGACTCTTTTTGGCCAGATCTTGACACCGTTCAGACCCTTGCTCACAGTTGGTGCCCCTATCAAGCTTTCCTTCTCATTCCATTTAATGGTTCCACAAAGGTCAGACGTCTTAGATCCTGAAGTTCCCAACAACAACACGAAGTCCCGTAGCAGTGGGCACAGGTCAGGTCGTCCAGCTCCGCTTGTCTGGGCCGCTCAGCTCTTTTAGTCTTAGTTCTTTTGCGCGTTCGTGCTGTTAATATTCGTTAAACTTCACAGCAAAAATCTAAGTGCATCAGATGTGAGATTAGAGAGGTAACGGGAACGTCAGCCTTCTTCCACAGGATTCCCATCTTTGCGGACAGAACTCACCTGTGGGCAGGTTCATTGTTTTTTTCCTAAAAGTCCCGGCTTTGACTTGACCAAACGGGAGATCCCGCTCCCTGTCCCGGTTCAACACACCTTACACACAAGGTCTTGTTTAAACTATCTCTCTAAACTATCTTTTTTTTAAACAATGCTGCCCCCACCCCTCCATCTGGACACCTGGGCTTCCTGTGCTAAAGGAAAAGGCATCAGGTGATGTTCCCACCTCATCCTTCTCTGATCAGTTTGAGACTACTGCTGCTTGCAGACCAACTTCCCAATAGTTAGAGCTCAACTTGTATTAAAAAACAAGAAAAAAAGCAATAGTTTATTAGTAGGGGTGGGTTTCAAATGACAAACATGAGAGAAAACTAGACAAGAATAAACCTAACTAGCCGCTAATGGTCAGAGGACCCAAAGAACTGCAGTTATTTTTACTGCCCGGAGCTGGACATGAGGCCGTGACCCTGATTAATGATTCTCTGGAGTTTCGTTCGCCCCGTGTTTTCAGTTTTCTGGCCTGTGAGCTCGTTTTGTCGCTAGTTTCTGAATCCCCGTCACCTCCCTCTCACACCACATGCAGGCCGGCCACCGCACAAATGGAAAGAACACAACATGTTAGCAAGTCCAGTGTCAGAGAAACTAGGGCTCATGCACCACTTTTATTTAAATCTCCACAATATTACTGCAATCAGTAGACAACTAAAAAAAAAAAAAAAAACACAATTTTATAAAAATGGAAGTTGTTGTTCTTGTTTTCATAATTCCTCACTTAAAAGTAAAAGTAGAAGGCCTTCTTTAAAACTCTTTCTTTGACTTCCGTTTGAATTTTGGGGCAGCACATGAGTCAGACTGTACAAGTCCACTTTAGTCCAATGTTGAACATTGAACGTTTACAAACCGCCTTCTGGAAGACAACAGAGTCAGACACAGATATGTCCCGGGTCCCAGAGTCCCGTCTGAGCCGGGCCTGCTGTAGATCCAAGTCTGCTGTGGGACGTTTTCCTCGTCCTTGGTTAAAAAATTCTTCTAAGGCGAGGCTTAGAGTGTCCTCCTACTCTACTCCTGCTCCCAGACGAGCTCTTCGGAGTAAGCTTCGGGGTGGCTTTTCTGCTGGTGCGTCTTCAGGTTCCTCATCCAGGCGAAGCCCTTGCCGCAGGCTCCGCAGCGGTAGGGTTTCTCCCCCGTGTGGACCCGCTGGTGCTTCCGCAGGTTGCCCGCCTCCGAGAACATCTTCCCGCAGGTGGCGCAGCTGAAGGGCTTCTCCCCCGTGTGGACTCGCTGGTGGATCTCCACCTTCTTGGGCCGGTTAAAAGTTTTCCCGCAGTAGCTGCAGACGAACAGCCGCTCTCTGGCGGTCCGAGCGGGCGGCGGCGGCGGCGGGGGGGCGCGGCCGCCGTCGGTCCAGCCGCTAGCGAATGAGGACGACGTGGACGGGAAATCGGGCCCGGGCGGTAAATAGGGACCGCCCGGAATGCCCTGTTTGGCTTGGTTTGGGAGCTCCGGCACGGAGGAGTCCCTGCTGTCGTCAGTCGGCTCTGAGCCGTCGCACGGAAACCCCACGAGCTCACAGTTAGGGAGAGGAGGGGAGCCACTGACCTCCAGTCCTCTGCCGATGCTGCTAAACGCCGTCTGGGCGGGCTGGCTCTGGGTCTGGGGGGTGAAGTGGGCTCGGTGCTCCTCCAGATTGAGACTCTGGCCCATTGCTCCACGGGGGGCCGGCTGCATCCCTCCTGCAAACAGAACATCAGCCACCGGAGGTTTAGTCACGCTTTAGATGAGACAGGCTAAGGACAAGGGTAAGGGGGCTCCACTTTTAGGGCTGTCGAATCTCCTCTTTCATTCGTTCAAAGTTTGAACTCATATTTAACTCATTGGCTGCCAAAGACGTCTATAGACGTCTTTTATGTTTTTCAACGAGAGTGACTTGGGGGACGATCCGCTAAAGCTTGTCCGTAAATATCAGGCTTCTAGACAGAGTATGTACTAACAAATTGACCCTCTAGGTGGCAGTGCCACTTTTGATGGGAGATGAGCATAGATTGTAGGCAAATAAAAAAAAAACGTAATGGTTCGCTATGCGAAAAATGGCGCCGGTGAGACGCAAGTAGAGGAATAACGGAATAAGGTAGAAACAAAATTTTGGTTCCTGATGAAAGAAGAGAGTCTACTCTTTCTTTTGGTGTGTTCGGTGTTTACATAGTCAGAGCACAAACTATTCTGTGGCTCTTGAAAAATCAGTCAAAATGCTCAAAAAACTCTGACAGTATGGGACTCTGTTCTGAAAATGGCTGGCAGTCAATGAGTTAAGAAAAGGCTCCATATTTGTGCTGAAATCTGAGCAGTGATTTACTGTAATGACAGGAAACTGACACACATCCACTATTTGTATTATCATTATGACACAAACAGTGTCTGTGTACCATCCTAACTTGTTACAGAACCATCCAAGTGGCCTGTGGTATCTCTCAGATTAGGGACATTCTCCCAGATTTTAAATGTTTCACCATATAGAGGCTGGAACAGTTAAAGAATGCTCATCGCAGCTGGTCTCCCTGATTCCTCATCAGAGGCTCCTAAAAGAACAGCTGGGGCCTCTCAGTCTGGGCCATTAAAAACCAAGCTGAACAGACAGTTTTAAAAAAACTGGATCCTCACTGTGCAGAGGAACGTGTGACTAACGCGTCATTAACAGCCCGCCTGCCCTCACCGTCGTCCAGGAGAGGCCCCGTTTCCTCAGCCTGTGGCAAGTTTCCCTCCAGACTCTCCTCCTTCACCAGCGATGCGTCAGGCTCCACCAGCTGCACGTCTGGAGACTGGAAAAAAAGGGGTTTGTCACTCCATAGCAAAAGAGCTGATAAAGAGCTGCTTTTGTTTACTGGAGATTTGCTGTACTATCATTCTGGGGACTCAGAGCTCGCTCCTCTACACACAGTCAGAGCCACATCACCATCAGTCTGCTTTCTAAACAAACTGAGATAAAGAGATAATTGGCCGTGGCGTGAATCAGCCCTAAGAAACACCTGGCCTCCAGCTGTTGTGGCCTCATCAGCATGACACACCCCCCATGAATCTCAGACATTTCTATCCGTGTAGAGGCACACTACTCTTTTCAAAACCAAGAGGTCCACAGAGGATTGTGCTAATTCTTCATGTGTCTGTTCATTTTCAGTGAAAAGAGAAACTTAGTGAAGATCACTTTGCTCCCCTCAGACTGAAGGGGTCCTTACCTTGGGCTGGATGTTCTGAGGGCGACCCGGATGGGGGGCTGCTCTCCCAGACCACAGCGTTACGTCCAAATGTCGCTCAAACACACCACCTTCACACCAACGACAACAACACACCTCCTTAAACAGCGGTCCCAACACACTCTATCCACAATTAGTGTTATCGTTTCAGAGGAAGCTAAAGCTCAAAGGGTGGTTATGGTTCAGGGTAATTGAACCGATCAAAACACAGATTAAATCCTATGTTTAAAGAGGAGAGATCGACATGTGGAGGAGGACATGCTTTCACTTTCTGTTCTCCTGAGCCAGAGATTAAGTTAGCTTCACAAAAATGCCCACAAACAATTGCTTTTGGATGTTTACAAAAATTACATTTGCATTGCAGCTTTTTTTGTTGTTTTTTACATTTCTGGATAACACATGCAGACTCTCTGCACTAAACTGGTGTCAAATCTCTGAAAAAGCTCCACTTTATCTTCCTTTAAGTTCTTCTTGGGTTATAATAACATCTTCTTTATTTTATTATTTATTATTATTATTATTTATTTTATTTTATATTTTTATTTCTACATTGTATGTCCTTTCTTGTTTCTCATAGAAGTGTTGTGCACCAAACACCAAAGCAAATTCCTTGTCGGTGAAAAACCTACTTGGCAATAAACCTTATTCTGATTCTGATTCTGAACCTTTTTTGTATAATCAGTCAGAATGATGTTGAAAACAGTGTTACGAATTATTATCATGAACCCAAACTGGGCATAAAAGAGGAGGAAATTAGAGCTACTACCTCCTTTGTAGAGGTAAATTCGTTGGATGACAAAGTGGGTGAGTTTAAAACCCCTTATAGCACACAGTAAGCTCTTTCATATGAATTATATCAGCTCCTGTCAAATTGTTGTGTTTTTAAGCCTGTTTGCACAGCTGTAATGGCCTGTTCAATACAAAGTACACCAGGAACTGGTCCAGTGCGCTGTCAGAAGATAAACCCCGTTCCTCCGGGGGCTGCCTCCAGCCCATATCTTACCTGGGGGGCAGGGGGACTCCCGCAGCCTGTCGCCGCCCATCTGGAACCGCTGGCGGCCGCCGTTGGCGACGCTCTCCCGGAGCCTCCTCTCGGCGTTGCCCCGCGCCATCTTGAGCTCCAGGAGGTGCAGCTTCCTCTTCAGGGCCTTGTTCTCCCTCTGGCACTGGGACACCTGCAGGCTCACCAACGCGAAGTCGTCGTCCACCAGCTTGCAAATCTCCGCCACGGCGGCGTTGGCGAGGACCTCCATGATGGAGGCTAGCTGGGTTTGGAAAGCCAGGCGGTTGGACATGGTTCCGAAGCTGCTCCGTACTCTCTAGGGTCGACTAATTCCTCACAGACTGTAGCCGGGACATTAAAGCATCGCCCCCACCCGGAAACTAAAAGACTTTTTAAGCCGAAATCATGTAAATACGAGACGTTCTGACAGACTCTTCTCTGTGTAAAACGAGTCCAACCGCACAAATAAGGCGTCACTTCCGCTGGGCCCTGACCCCCGCGAAGCCCGGCTTCCGGTCCGGCACCTCAAAATAGACCTCCGGAAACATGTCCTACATTCAGCCGAACGATATAATAATAATAATAATAATAATAATAATAATAATAATAATAATAATAGCAGCATCAATGATCTGTTAGGTAAACCCCCAACATAGAGAGTTTTATTAATAATTCTAAATAACCCCTTAATTTTACAACACTGCACAAAGCTGTTTTCCCAAAGGGATTTGAACACAAATTGAAAAAAATGGACAAAGAATATAACATATTAAGTAGAAAACAAAAAAATAAACGAATAAATCGTAAATGAATTGCAATTATTTAATTTTATATATATATATTTATATATATAAAGCAGTCCCTAAACCGAGTCTTGTATGACTTGTCCATAAACACCCAGTAGGCGTTTATGGACAACCCCCATCAGACTGATGCTGTTTGGGATCTGGTGCTACATAATTTACAAACTTAAGACATTCCAAAGTCAGATGCTTTGTAAACCCTTCACATTTAATGATACCGATACATTTTATAAACCCAGAATGAAATATCTGAATGGTGAAAATATTGGTTTCAGCTGTGTAACCTAAACTAATACCAATTACGTCCAAACATGAGCACTTACAAACACAACTCTTATATGCATCATTTCACTTTACACTTTTTTTACAGCCTTTTGTATATATATATAATTTTAAAACGTTTAAAGAGTTAGAGTAATGGATTCCATTTAAAAGACTTCTAATCTCGGACCCAACGTTTACAAAATGTAATTTCATACAATCAACAACACAACAGAATCACAGAGGACAGAACAGGCTGTGCTAGAGGTCTTACTCAACAAAGTGCCAACATTTCAGATTCAACTCAAAGATTGATGGTAAAGGCCACTTAATTATGATCATGTAGAAATACACATTACACATCATGGCTAAAAAAAAACTGTATGATCACAGCCTCCATGTTTGAGTTGCTATAGAAACATATGAAGTGCTTTAGTAAAGAGTTCCATTTTTTTTTAACACTTTATCCATACTGAGAAAATTTTCAGAGCAGGTAGTCCAGGAAAAGAAAGTCTTACTTCATTCAAAGAAAAGTGGAAGATAGAGGGACCTAACCTGTTAGCTTGCTCCATCATTTCCAACAAATTCCACAACTTTAGCTAATCTTCAGAGCAGCCCTGTAAACACTTAAATCTGCAACTTGGGAATAGGCTCTGACCCACTTTCTCCAAAAGGCTACAAGTTCTGAAGGAGAATATCGATAATCCCAGCTCTGACCAGCATCAGGCACCAACTAAATGACAGGAACTAAGATCTGCTGTGTAATAGGTCGAGTTTAGCATTTCAGCATTATTCGTTGCTCATTTGATCACGTTTGATGTTCACCAAAGAGCAAACAGAACACTGGTTGTGGGTACGACGCCAGATTTCCTATTTAGTGCACAACATTTCATCTGTCAAGACATCAGCTCTGACCTGTCCAGAACACACAGCTTCCAGCTCTGTGTTGGCCAGGAGCTATCTGACCAGGAACCAGCTGTTAGTCAGGTTAACCAGATCCTCTCTTCATAGCGAGACCTTTAGGTGACACAGAGATGAAGTGAGCCCTGTCTAAGGTAACAGTCTCCCTTTTGCCACTTTTACACCATACAACTACAGATAAGATGCGGACGACTACTTGAATAAGGTTCATCTGGAAAACCGACGTTCCCGATTAGAGGGATGACGTCGTTTCTCCTCTGGTCCGTCTCACATGTTGGGCAGGGCCTTTTGGGACCTGCTCTCAGAGGTTCCCGGGTGCGTTTGGAGCCCCTGGGCCCGGTCTACAGGCCGCACTGGGACTGCTGGCGGTGCCGGCGGACGCTGCACATCTGGCTGAAGGACTGTCCGCAGCGGGAGCAGCTGTAGGGTTTCTCCTGCGTGTGCACGGTGCGGTGGCGCTTCAGGTGGCTGGAGGAGATGAAGCTCTTGCCGCACAGCGAGCAGCGGTAGCGCCGCTCGCCCGTGTGGACCAGCAGGTGCACGCGCAGGTTGTTGGGCTGGGCGAAGCCCTTCCCGCAGTGGGGGCAGGCGTAGGGTCTCTCCCCCGTGTGCGCCCGCTGGTGCAGCTCCAGGGCCGCCGGCGAGGGGAAGACCCGCCGGCAGACGCCGCACGCCGCCGCCGCCTCGCCGGAGGCCGCCGCCCGGCACCGGTACGGCCTCCGTTGGCCCCCGGCGGGGGCGGAGTTAGCGGCGGCGGGGGGCAGCGGGGCGACCATGTCGAAGGAGTTGGCGAAGGCGGCCATTTCGTGGGCGCCGCCGGCGAAGAGCACGGCCGGGGGGGCGTCCAGGCCGTCGGCCTGCGCGGGGAAGGAGGCGGACGGGAGGCCCGGCTCGCCGCTCCCCAGACCCAGCTGCGCCACGGCGTACGCCGCCCCCAGGTGGCTGACCCGCTCCTGCATCCAGGCCAGGTCCAGGCCGGCGAGCCGCTCGGCCGAGGCCTCGTCCGAGTCCAGCGCCGCGGCCAGGTGAGAGGGGGGAGGATCCTCGTCTGTCTTGAGCTCCGGCTTCACGGGGCCGTCGGCCAGGCCCTCCGTAGGGTCCCCGCCGGGGGCATCGGGGCTTTGGGAAGCGCCGTCCGCCGCTTTAAGGCCGCCGCCGGCCGCCCCGGCGGGCCGGGACTTCAGCCTCTGTCGGCAGGTCAAGTCCACGGTGGCGTCCACCGAGGGGAGGGACGGCTGAGGGACGGAGGGGGGAGCCTCGGGGACGCCCGTGTCCAGGACGAGGTCGGTGGAGCAGGTTTCCTCGACCGACGCCGGACCTGAAGAGGAACAGAGAAGAGAGGAGTGAAGTTTCGAAGTGGAGAAATTTAGACAATCGCCATTACTGCAACACTTTCAGCTCTAAGCTCAAGTGGTTTATTTTTGTCGCATCAGTTCTTGAGTCCGGTGGGAATTTAAACATTGCTCAAATCCAATGGTTTGGAAAAACAGTGGTTACAGTTAGGATCTGGTTTGTCTCACGGCAAGAAAACCAAAACAGGCCTCCAAAAAAACTACACAGGGCGGACTCTTCTTACTGTTTCTAACTGATACGGACCGAGATGCAAAACAGAAGGAGTCACAGGAGGTATTGGAAATTTTGACTTTTTATTTTAATCCAAAAGAAAGAAAAAAAAGCTGTAGTTACAAATCCCAAATATAAATCCCAAATCCCCCCCTATTTTGCAGGAGTTGGTGGTGCAGTCCAATAATCCCAGCTGGTATTTAACGGCTCCATGCCTCGGCCATCCCTTTTGTTTGGCCAGGGAAGATGGAAGGTAGGAAACCAGTACGATAACAATTAGGAATCATCAAAAAAACACAAAGGAGGAATAAGCTGATAAAATACAGCGAAACAGAACGCAGTAAACTTCTGGAAACAACCTTCTCTGGACAGATGAGTGTAAAACTAAATAATGTGGCCATGTTTTGGGGGTGCCAGGCTGTACAGGACCTGGTCAGAGGCTTCTAGTAGAACATGTAAGACCATCTATAACCAAAATTGGAGTGGATCTTGACCAAACGGCATGAAAATGAACCAAACATACCAGCAAAGTCATGTGAAAGAAAAGTTTGCCGAGTTTTTTTTTTTTAAACTTGAAGGGGAAAATAAATTATCTATGGTCATCTAAATTTTTGTACGTCAGATGAGGAGTTTATCCACAGAATCCACAAAGTTTGTGGGAGGAGTCTGAGCTCTGAAACCACCAGAGACCTCACAAAAATGCTGCTTCAATCCTCACTCACCATTCGAGAAACCACAATCGGCCCTGATGTTGACCTCCACCTTCAGGTCCAGATTACAGTCGCCTCTCTCCTCTTTCTCCTGCTTGACCGGAGGGAATACTTGCGTCTCCTTCTGCATGAATAAAGAAACGTGTCACTCAGACTAAAAAAACTGCATCTGGCTTATTTACTCTACTTACTTAGTTGTCAGACTCATTTTGAACAGGGATTTACTCTGATAACAACTTAATGGTTAGGACACGGTCCTGTGGGTTAGCAGATGCTAATGCTAATGTGGGATCGGACTTTAAAAAAAAAAACTGGATCTGGACTCTGGATATGGATTTTCTCCAGTCGATACGCATTTTTTTGCAAGCTAGCTAGCTGGCTGGTGCAGCCCCATAGTTACCACTAAACATTCTACCACAGTTTGGATGAATAAAGAGTTCAGATGAGCTTTACTTTTCACCTATTTTACCCATCAGATTTGTGGTCATTTGGTCAGATTGGAGCTCTTGAGCGGTCTGGGGAGGAGCTGCCACAAGGCTTCACCTGGAGGTGAGATGGACGCCCCCCCAGAACCTGTAAACTGTGAGGCTGGAAAAGCTGCCGGGGCTCAGATGGATTATTACCTTTGCGACAGGGTGAATGAGTTCATCTTCAGGGGCAGAAGGAAACTGCTGGTCCTCTCGTTCTGAAAAACAAGACAAAAGACAGAGTAAGAACTTCAGCTCTAAACCGAGCAGCTAAAAAGATTCTTACATTAATCTGCTGAAAACAGGATCCAGGATGCATGTTCCTGTAGCATCTGGGTCCTTCTTTGGGACTTTGTAGCACTTTTAAAAATAGCTTTTATTAGTAAAATGCTTGATTCTATTCCAGCTTTTCCAGTCCCCAACAAAAAAATATACCTATCAGGAAAACTCAGTCCATGCTTTTTTTTGTAATATTTCTAATTGTCTGTGTTAATAAACATCCAGTTTTACATGTCAGATATACAGAGATCTCCCTTCTAAGCAATCTTTGTCATGTTGAAATTCCTTATAAGAATCACTAACGAAGAAGGTGATATGCACACAGCAGTTGGGAGCCAAAATATATAAATGATTAGCTTGATTAAGTAAGGTGGTTTCAATCCATAAATAAGAGAGAAATCCATCAGCCAACTCCAGTTCAGTGAAATCCTCTCCAGTTAATCTTAAATTAGACCGATTACAAGACTATTCAGTGACTGTTTTGGAACAAATGTTCACTAGAGTTTAAGGTAAAATATATCAGCATTGTAAAGAGCTTTGTTTTGCACTTTGGCTATTTAAAAAAACTAAAATCACTATTTCTCTTGAATAGAAACAGTCCCCGTGTTCAGAATCCAACCCCTGAGGTCCACTTTATGTTTTATGGATGTACATTTTAAGTGTTACACGCAGTGTTTCACATTTTTTTAGAGACTTCTCTCACTTCTCATGTATCTAAACCGGGTTCAGTTTTTGGCCGAGGAGGATTCAACATCTGGAACGAGGAGGCAAGCAAAGGCCCCCCTGAGGGACGACCCCCACCAGGGCTTCGGGCCGCCTAACGGTCAACCCTGCCCCAACGGCCACGCGTGGACGGGATCAGGTCCAGTTTTTGTCCGGATGCTCTGTGGCTCCAGGTTCACTGTGAATGGGCGTAAAAGCAACTTTTAAAGCTGTCTGAGAACAGGGTGGGGGGCTTTTTTTTCTAACCCTTCCTCTCTCT